GTGAGGTAGTAAGTAGAGAATAGACTAACATTAGAGTCACTCTCATGGTTTCCAGGCTAGTGAGGAAGACAGCTTTTAAACATGGAGATCCAGATATGAAGAGCATTCCAAAAGAGTAGGCATCAGTACCATGGACGTGTGTAACAAGAAGATCTAATCTCCCCTCCAAGACAGGAGAAGAAATTTCTTTCTGAGAGTAAATCCAGCAGGCAAAGATGGGTGAGGAGAGAAGGAGATGTTGAATGTCTCTGGAATCTCAAAGTGGATGGTCATTAAAGTTCCTGTTATTTGGGGAAATCAATGATCCTAACATAATGACGAATCAATTTTTACGACATTGGAGGACTCTGGAAGTGAGAGTGCATTGTTACAGCGTGCTAAGGATGCAAACTGTGACTCTCAGAGCACAATGATGCTGACCTGCCTTCCAGGCACCAGGCACCTTATGTGTATCTTCCCTCTCTTTCCTCACCCATCTCAACAGGCATTAGATGCTTTCCCTCCCTCACTCTGGTTACTCTCCACTGAGCCCATTGATCAATGATACTGTGACATAAAATGCTTCCCAAGATGTAATGCAAGTGATTCTGGTATAAAAAGAGATGATTTTATATAGGATAAGGAATATTTTTAATAGTTATGCATTTATTTTTTTACAAATCCCATTTCTTAAAATAAATCCTATTAATACTAACAAATCAACTTAAGAAATAAGTCAGTAAAAGTGGAACAAAATTTCAGTGACATCATTATGCTGCCAGAGGTGCTCTACCTAGTTATTTAACCTTCTGCAGTTAGTATTTTTCTTCTGTAAATTGAAAATAATACCAGCCTTATTGGTAAGGGTGAAATGAAAACGTCCTTAAGGACTCAGTCATAACTGAGTGTCTGGTACATTTGGTTTTAAAAAATTGTGCTTTTCTTTTTCTTCCCTTTCTTACGACTGCCTGCATATTGATCTTTCTGCTGTCGATTTCTTTCTGGCCTTTACTATTAAAGATGAAATATAAGATATTGCACATCGATTATTTCAAATTAACAGCCCAAGATAACCTTTTTATTGTGCATTTACTTAAGGTTAAGATGGTTGGTTGGATAGACAGATAAACAAACAGATAGATACAGTCATAAATACCCACATCTGCCAGTAAAAATGGAGTGTTAGAGACTAAAAATATTTTTTTTGTGAAAAACACTCATCAGGAAGGCAAGCAAAGAGTTCTAATATTATCAGAAAGTTTATTTAATAGACTATGTGCTTATCTTGTTTTTTCTAGGTGAAAGGGGGCAAGAAACAGAGTGAGCTTTGAAACTAGGAGAGTTATATTGAAATCCACCATTCACTAGCTATGTGATCCTAGACAACACTAGACAATAATATTGATTCATATATTTGTAATTTGTTTTTATTTAATGAATATTTCTTAATATTTCATTAAATAAATGAAAATAAGCATTGGCACTATAAACATTAGAGATAATACACACACACAAAAAAAGACAAAATCCTTATACTCACAGAGCTTATTTTCTAGTGGAGAAAAACAAACAACAAAAAATAAATCTGTATATTTAAAAATGGCAAAAAAATCAAAAGTAATCTTCTATAATCTTATCACTATTTTTTCTTCTTGATAAGTAAAAAGTAAATACAATAAAAAAACAAAACAGTAAAATCTCCTCCTCCCTTTACTTCTCCAATTTTATCTCTGGAAGACAATCATTAAGAATTCGAGTGTATGAGCCAGCTGCAGTGCCGCTCACCTGTAATCCCAGCAGCTCGGGAGGCTCGGGCTGGAGGATTGCAAATTCAAAGCCAGCCTCATCAATTTAGCAAGGCCCTGAGCAACTCAGCAAAATGCTGTCTTTAAATAAAATATAAAAAAGGACTGGGGTGTGACTCAGTGGTTAAGACTCAGTGTTAAGCACCCTGGGTTCAATCCTTGATACCAAAATAATAATAATAATAATAAAGAAAAGAAAAGAAAAAAAGAAGAATCTGAATATGGGGCCACACAACTATAATCCATGCAACTCCAGAGGCTGAGGCAGGAGGAATGCAAGTTCTAGGCCAGTCTCAGCAATTTAGCAAGGCTCTAAGCAACTTAGCCAAAACCTGTCTCAAAATTAAAAATAAAAAAGGGTTGGGATGTGGTTAGTGATGAAGTATCCCTGGGTTCAATCCCCAGTCCCCCCACCAAAAAAATTATATGTACTTACATATGTATTAAAAATAAAGAGCCAAAATGAGATGTAGACTCAGTCTGTCTGCTAAAGGGGTTAGCACTATATATGTTTATCAGGAAAAAGAGAATCTAGACATTTCTCTCCTTTTTCCTTGGGGCATCAGGGTCTGACTTAGCTCCCATGGCCTCCTAAAGTATTTTCTCCCTTGTTCTCCATCCTCCCCCCAGCCTGCCTTCATCCTGCTATCTTTGCCACTTACATGCCTGGGATAACCGTAAGTGGGAGCCCATATAGGACAAAGAAAATCATTTTATGAAGAGTACTGATCAATTTTCCTACCCCCAACTTTTATCAGTGATGCTAAAATATCCCCAATTCCAATGCAAGGATGAAGGGAGGCAAAGGGAAAGAAGAGAAACCTTCTCTCTGCCTATCTTCATGCATGCACTTAATGTCTTGTTTCTTTGCATCATGCTGTAACTCCTTTATCCAGCAGTGAGAATCCTCAAGGTATGACTGACCACATGACATTTACCTCCCACCAGTCTCTTAAAAAAAAGAAAGAAAAGGAAAAAAAAAAAGAAAGAAAAACAAAACCCTTTGGTTCCAGCCACTATCCAGACAAGCTCTTTCAATTTTTTACTTCTGTGTCTCCATCCTGATATCAGTCTGTATAGAATACCTTGCTATTCAACACCTTTGCCCATAGATAGTACCTGCTCAGGAGCAGTTCAATCACCTCTCCCTCTGAGATAACATGTTAGACTCAGTTCAGAAGCAGATCCTGAGATGATATTTGAGTGTGAGTAGTTTACTTTAAGGAGATCCTAGCAAACCATTAATGGATACAGTAGGCAACTGGAGCTCAATCCCACAGGGGAGGTTGGGAAGTTATCCTCTCAGCAGGCAAGGGAGATGAAAAGCTTTTCTTCATCACCCCTCTGTCATTACTATCATTAATCCCCCTGAAGTTCTGGCTTGACCTATGTGTGGTCTGAGAAATGCCTCCAGTAGAACACCATGGGTGCTGGCAGTATGTACAGAAACCACGGGTGCCAAGAGACATATAGCATTTTGACAAGTTAGACATGATTATCCCTATTATGTTTCATGACCCTTGGATCATGAAACATAATAGGGATTTGCATCATTCCCCAACAGTTACCATATCCTGCCTCTTGTTAGAAGTATTTGTGTGCAATTTAGAAAAAAAAAATTCAATTAATAATTTGCTTACCCTGGGCTTTCCCAGAAAGTAGAACCTGTGGGCAAATGCTTCTGCATGGCTACTTTATCAAGAAATTTAATCCCAGGAAAGCAGGGGTGATGGACATAGGTAGCAAGGCAGGGAAGACAGAAGCACCAAGATAAGGTGCACTTTGGTGCTGGCTGCCAGTAAATACAACTGACTGCTTCACCTCACAGGACCACCCTCAAGGAGGCCAAATAGACAGTGTCTCAGGACATTCCACCAGGAGATGAAAGGTTCATCAAAGGTTCATTTGACAGGGACTTCTGCATATCGGTGGTGCGCAGGTGGGTACCAGGAGAATCCCACCAGCATCCAACCCACCTCAGCAGGAATGGAGGAGCCAGGACAGTTGGGAGAGATGTGAGTCACCATAGGAGAGGGGCTCTCAATTGATACGTGAGGTCAGTCTGAATCTCAGCTGTGGCTGTCAGTGACAAAAGTGTCTGGAGATCAGTGAGAGCAAGAGTAGCCAAAATACACTTATTAAATGTGCTTGATTCACCAGCTGAAATAATTCATTAGGGATGGGTGATTTCATCCTCACGTGTACCCACATTCCATGCCCAGGAAAATTATCCTGTAATAGTGTGAAGCATCCCCATCATAACTTACAAACTAAAGTCAACTTTCTTTTGTGAAAATCTGGAACATCAAACTAAGAACAAAGGGAAGTGAATGAACAGAATTGTTCTTTCCAAAATGTGTGATTGCAGTGCAAATGGGCCTCTGAGGAGCTGGAGGTATACTGGAATAATAAAACAGCAAGAAGGAAAACAAACTGAGTGAAATAAAATTTGAACAAATTGTTAGGAAGCCTTGTTATTATCAGTGAGGTAAAAGGAGGGTTCCTCTGATTCATTGAAAGATCCTTCAAAGACATTCTATAAAGAATTTTTATATCAGTGCTTGACATGTGCATGGATGGAAATGTCACAGTGGAGCCTTTTAAATTGTACAATTAACATGTTAATAGAATAATTTTAACTGTTTTAATATTTTACTCATCAACTCCTATGAAGCACTAATGACAAGTGTACAAAGATTTTTATATATATTATAAAGTCTGCATTTATTTACACATTCATGAAATCTGAATTAAAGCAGCAGAAGCGATTATCTCAGGAAAACAGGATGCTCAAAATCTTTACAGGTGTTATTCTGGAAAGCAAACAACATATAAAAGAGAAACAAGCTTATCTGTTGGAAGAAAATGGGTACCAGGAAGAATCCAGACTAGTAATAGATGTTGTTTGAAGAACAAGAGAAAATGTACTTGACTTCCAAATTTTTTATAGTCATCAGCTAATTCTTTTTAAAAATTTGGGTACTGTGAAAAATATGTTATAAGTAGGAATTGATGAAAAGGCCTATGACTTTTTTTCTATTAAGTACAGTATTATTTCAAAGAAAATTATTTTATTTAAAGAATATATATTTGAGCACATTAATATTCCTTGAGAAACATCCCCTTTAAATCCTGCACTCCAAGAAGAAATTTGATTTTTGAGATATTCTGAGTATGCAGAAAATGATTTAAAGTTTATAATTAATGTACAGCATGAACATTTTGCTAAAATGCATTAAAGGTTTATAGAAGAGTAAGCATAATAATATATAACAAAGGCAGTTTAAACTTCTAAACAACAAACACATTTCAGTTTCAGAAAGAACTGCTATGTAAATGACTGTAGAAACCACAGTAGTCTATGTAATCATGTATGTAAGGCACAGTCTTCAAGATCAAGTGCTTGGTTGTAGTCAGCCATAGCTTGCTCAATCAGACCTATTTTACCACGAACTTTTGCTCTGAGGTGATATGCTAGAGCATCATTAGGCTTCAAAGACAGAGCTGCAAAAGAAAATACATTCAAGATATGTTTGTGCACTCAAACTAGCTCCATATTTAAAACTAAAATTTTACGAGAACTTTGATATAATTCATTTGATAACATTTTTCCTTAAATGTGAAATTCAGTTAAATTAGAAATATTCAATCTTTGGGCTGGGGTTGTAGTTCAGTGGTAGAGAGCTTGCCTTGCACGCATGAGGCCCTGGGTTTGATCCTAGGCACCATATAAAATAAATAAATAAATAAATAAACAAACAAACAAACAAACAAATAAATAAATAAATAAATAAAATAAAGATATTGTGTCCATCTACAACTAAAAAAAAATTAGAATTTTTTAATCTTCATAAGAAAGCAAATTTAGGGGACCACAGTACAATGATTTTCTTCAAAAGGTTGGCATTGTTTATGTATGGGTTTCCTAATAACTCTCTATATGTGACTTTAACAAAACTTAAAGTTATTACCAAAAGGAATCTATACTGATTACATTAAAAATGATATCTAAACATATTGATTCTTATGTACATTCATCTAGACAAATAGACCTGATTATTTATTTTAGTCTAAAAGCAAACACATTAACAGCTATAATCTTACAAAAAAAAATATACCTTTACTCAGTTCTTCCTCAGCTAGCTCATACTTCTCCAAACAGCAGTATAAATGTGCTCTGTTGAAATATACTGCAGCCCAAAATGGACAACGTTCAACTGCACAAGCAAAATCTTCTTCTGCTTCTTCATATTTATTTAATATTGTATTTGTGATAGCTCGATTCATGAGAGCATGATCATCTTCTGGATCAAACGTTAAAGCCTTTGAGAAGTAGTCATTGGCCTATAAAATGTAAAAACAAGTATAATGAATGTACTTTAATTGGTAGCTATCCAAAAATGTGAATCACTTTTATTTTTAATTTAAAATTAAGACAAGTCATCTACCAAGTAGGCAGTAGAAGTATTTCATCCCAGATATATTGGTGCGTTGACTATAGAGAACATAAAAA